AGCAAAGATAATATTTGTCGCTCTTTCAAGGAAACGGGGCAGTGCACGCGCGGGAAGGGTTGTTTGTTCGCCAAGACCGCGCCCAACCATCCGCGACACTGGTGCACTGGCGGCCGCGCCGCCAGTGCAGACATACTGATTGGACTAATTTTGTTATGGGTGATATGTCTTGCCTTCCTCGCGAGATGGACGCGGCGGTGCCCGCGTCGGTCAAGCCGATTGTGGGGAGGCAAGAGTGCGTCCACTGACCCAGCCAGCCCGGGCGCGTTCGCGCGCCCAGCCCCGCTAGCCGCTAGTTCGGGGCCCCCCAGGGCAGAAGCAGGCCGGCCCTCATTTTCCAAAGGCCTCTATAGACACAAGCAGAGGAGTTGATAACAATTCTTTCAGTGGAGAGACCCTCCACGACCGCAGGGGGCAAGATGAGAGTCTCGTAATTATTCTTGCCAATTTCCTGAACCTTCTTTCTCGGGGCGCCGTCAAGCTGTATTGGGGCGAGCCCCCCAGCAGGAGTTGCACTCGATCTCAGACAAAGGGTCGGCGCAATTTCCGCGTCCAGTTTGACTCCTCAACTGCGGAGCCCACCGCCACTTGTAGGAAGGCGCGTCGCCACGACCTAAAGGAGTTGCCCTCAAGTGTTGAAGACAGGTGGAGATGCCCAGATGAAGTGCGACAGCATTTGTCCACCCAGTGGCGGGCATCTGCTGCGGAGGCCTTAATCAAGGCGTCAGACCTACAAGATGACGTCTGGCACCTTCGGTTGAGGACTGAGGAGGGGGAAGAGGGCCCACGCGGCGCAGCCGCGGCGGGATGCACAGACAAAGCTGTTGCATATCTCGGAGCGCTGAGCTTTATCATTGATGCGGGGTGCGGGTATAACCTCATAGCGGAAATATAGATCAAGAGCGCAGGTGCACTGAGATTGATCCGGAAGCTTCCGCAATCGATCACTCTGAATACTGCCAGGGGAGAATCAAAAGCCCTCGGTTCAGTTCGCATCGCATGTCCCAAATTTAAGGGCGGTAGTTTCGACGCATTGGTCATGCCGGAAACTCCGCGCGTGATCTCGGTAGGCGAGCGGTGCATGGATCACGGTTTTGGCTTCTTCTGGCCAGCTGGCCGAAGGTCCTGCCTTCTGTTGCCCAGCGGTCAAAAAGTGGACCTGATCGTTGAGGGCAAGATTCCATACTTGACCCTTTCAGGCAAATAGGCTCTGGGTCGGTGGATGTGCGCGGTTGCCGCTGGGGAGGGTGAAACCCCCGAGCGGTGGTGTTGCGTGACGCCAGGCGCCAAGGCATTTTGGATGATATGGAATCGTCGGGAGGGCCTCCGCCCCATGCTGTTCAGACTCGCGTAACCATAGACTTGCATGCATACACATGAGTTGATTGGAACCCACAGCTATGTTGACGGACGGCCAGCTGAGCCCGCGCCCGTTTTCCCGTCCTCGTTAGACTCTGCGGATACCATCATTTATTTCTATTATACGCTTCGCAAGGCTAGCGAATGCGGTTGGATTCGGACAGCTGCCGGCACCGCTGCCTCCAACTGTCTCTTGACTTTGCCCTGCCGCGGCCAAGACGTTGGTGGCGCCGACGCTCAGCCCGGCCAAGCCGTGGCCTGCGCTGCCGCACATAGAAGCCCTTGTCGGCACGGGGCCTCAGGACGTCTTCCTTATGACATGGATCAGGGGTTGGACTCCGGTGCGTGCAACGCGGCCCCTGGGCCCGAGGAGGGTGATGTTGGAGACGCTGATGGTGTCGACCTAGTCGACATCGACGCGCCGCCAGAACTAGACCCAGACGATGCAGAGGTTGAGGTGTTGGATTCCCTTGCCGAGCGACTCAAGAAGGTCGCAGCCCCCCTCGCGCATCTCCTAACTCATACCCCCAAGAACCCATATTGTTCTGTATGCAATCGGGCCAAAGCGTTCAGACGGCAGCAGCGCAAAGCGCGCAACAAAGGGCTGAAGGTTCCCCGCCCGTGCCCTAACCCCACTTCGTTCGGGCATCTGACGACGATGGATCATTGGTTTGCGATGGATGACCTCTCGCGGCGGCTCCATGCATGATGAGACCGCGTGTGTGACTTTTCGCGACCGAGCTACTGATTTCCTCGCCGCTCAGGGTGTACACGACAAGTCTGCGGTTAACATTTGTAATGTTTAAGTAAACCTTAAAGCCCCGGGAGAGAAGTTACAATATTGCCGCGCAGATGGTGCGCGAGAGCTCGCAAGGGCACGTTGCGAGCTCAGGATTGCCCACGATCCTACCATCCCAGGAAACAAGAAGCAAAACGCCGTTGCCGAACGCGCGAACGGCGTGGTGCAGACGGGGGCCCGGGCCCTTCTGATGCAGGCCGGTCCCCCACCGCCATATTGGACATGTGCCGTTAGATATTTTTGTCTCTGCTACAATGCCAGGACCCCTGGAGAGGGGAAGTCTAGTTGGGATCGTCGCTTTGGACATCTGTTCGAGGCACCGCTGCTTGCCTTCGGGCCCCTTGTGCGCCATGTGCCCCCGCCAGAGTCAAGGTTTCGAACCGCCAAGACTGGCGGTGCGATGATCCCTGGGTTGCACCTAGGGTATGTCCACAAAGCGGGGGGCATGGTTGGGCCAGAGAGTTATGTAGTGCCGCTTCGACAGCTCGACGGACTTAACATGGAATCAGGGCGCGCGCCTGAAGGCAAGCGACCCACCATTGAGAAGTCCGATCAAGTTTACAGCAACATCTTAGATGGCCCTGCTGATGACCAAGCGCCACACTTTCCCGTGAGGAAAGCGTATGGGAAGGCGATGACTGAAGTGCGTTCCGTTACAATTCCCCCCGCTGGCGAAGCCGCGGCCGCCCCAGACGGTCCGGGGCAGGGAACAGGAGCACAATCGGTCCATCCGTTTTGTGCAGACGACCGTGCCGCGGTCACGCCACCGCCGCCCCGAGGAGGCGAGGACGCACCACCACAAGACTCCGAGGCCGATTCCGATGATGACGACGGTCCGGGGGGTCTGTGCGTGGATGACGAGCCTGTGGTTGTTGACGGCCGGGGCCCACAGCGAGACTCTCGCCCCGACGAAAATCAAAATCAGAATTTAGGTCTCGCACATATTGAGTACCGTTTGGATAGACAATCTAATTGTTCGGCGGCCAAGCCGCGCGAAAGGATTCCCGGGAAAGGACAGCTTCTTGCTCGCGCGGCTCAGAATTTTGATACGATGGAGTACTATGAAGATCGCCGTGTTGTTGTTGTTGGCCTAACGAACGATGAGCTAACCAAAAAGCTCCCATTGACAGGTCGTCGAAAACCATGCAGCGTTCGAGTTGTACTTTATTTTGACCCCGACTACGTTCCCGTGACTCGAGTGCGGGTTGCAGACCCAGATCCAAAATACGAGAGCTGGCGCAGCGCGCCCCTGAAAAAAGTGCTGACGCTCTGACGCTTTTGACGCTCCTGACGCTCTTGACGCTCCGGTGCTCCTGACGCTCCTGACGCTCCAGGCGTCAGAGCGTCAGGAGCGTCAGGGGAATCAGGGGCGTCAGGGGCGTCAGGATCGTCAGAGCGACAAGACCACCAGGAGCGTCAAGAGCGTCAGGGGCGTCAGGAGCGTCAGGGGCGTCAGGAGCGTCAGGGAGCGCCAGGGAGCGTCGGGGAGCGTCGGGGGCGCCGGGGGGCGTAAGGAACGTCAGGAACATCAGAGCGCCAGGGGCGTCAGGAGCGTCAGGAACGTCAGGGGCGTCAGGAGCGTCAGAGCGTCAGGGGCGTCAAAGGCGTCAGGGGCGTCCACCACTCCGGCGCCGCCGGTCGAGACGTCCTCACACTTCTGGCACCGCCGCTCGAGACATCCTCACAACTCTGGCGCCGCCGCTCGAGACATCCTCACAACTCCGGCGCCGCCGCTCGAAACGTCCTCACAATTTCGGCGCCGCCGCTCGAGACATCCTCACAACTCCAGCGCCGCCGCTCGAGCGTCAGGAGCGTCAGGAGCGTCAGAGCGTCAGGAGCGTCAAGAGCGTCAGGAGCGTCGGGGGCGTCCACAACTCCAGCGCCGCCGCTCGAGACACCCTCACAACTCCAGCGTCGGGGGCGCCGGGGTGCGTAAGGAGCGTCAGGAGCATCAGAGCGTCAGGGGCGTCAGGAGCGTCAGGAACGTCAGGGGCGTCAGGAGCGTCAGAGCGTCAGGAGCGTCGAGGGCGTCAGGGGCGTCCACCACTCTGGCGCCGCCGCTCGAGACACCCTCACAACTCTGGCGCCGCCGCTGGAAACATCCTCACAACTCCAGCGCCGCCGCTCGAGAGACATCCTCACAACTCCGGCGCCGCCGCTCGAGCGTCAGGGGCGTCAAGGACGTCAGGAGCGTCAGGGGCGCCAGGAGCGTCAGGAGCGTCAGAGCGTCAGGAGCGTCAGAGCGTCAGGAGCGTCAAGGGCGTCAGGGGCGTCCACCACTCTGGCGCCGCCGGTCGAGACATCCTCGCAACTCTGGCGCCGCCGCTCGAGTCATCCTCTCAACTCCAGCGCCGCCGCTCGAAACGTTCTCACAACTCGGGCGCCGCCGCTCGAGACATCCTCACAACTCCGGCGCCACCGCTCGAGAGAGATGGGGGGATGGAGGGAGCTGGATGGAAGGAGTGAGGAGGAGAAGAAGGGGGATTGGGGTGGAGGACGAAGGGTAAGAAACGGATGGGGACACTTTTAGCCCAAACTCTCGATCGACACATTTGGCAAGTTAATTGTGACGCGACTTGTATCAGAGCAGGTCGTGGGGATGTCCCGTGCGACCCGCTCGATTGGCATCCCCGACTCCTCTGCATTCAGAGCACCACTCGGGGGCCCTCGTCGTTACGGCTGGATTCGCTTTTAGTTTACACCGCATAGCTTTACCCCGGTGGACATAGCTTACACCACGGTGGGCGCGGCCCTTGGCGGGCAATATCTGGTCCTATTGGCTGACATCGGGTGCTATTTACTGCTGACGGCTCCCGGCGGCTACACTCGGCTGATATGCGAGACTGCAAGCTCACATCAGAACTACCCGAGTGTTAAGACCAAGGTGAAGAGGGGGCAGAAATAAGGAGCATCCTCACCTATCCTCGTCTTCTTCCTCCGGTTTTCCTGCTCACGCCATTCCTTATCCCGTTACTCATTCTTTTCATGCTGCTTTACGTGTTCCACCTAGCCCTCCTCGTCCTTTCCCCTGCTGCTTTTCATCATCGCCCTTTTCGGATATTCCTCCTCGTGCTGCTCCTCGTCCTCACCTCCTCGGTATAATTATCCTCGTCCTTCCCTCCTCTTGCTTCTCATGCTGTCTTCCGCATCTCTTCACACCCCTATCGTTTTACTCGTGTTACTCTTTTCCCTTTTTCTCCTAGTTGTCCTCCTCTCTGAAGCGGTGGCTCAAGAGGAATCGCTCTCGGTGCGAGGGCGCTGCAGATTGTCCGCGTTACACCACGCGCCGTGCCGAGGACGGACGCCCCGCATGTTCAGAGCACGACGGGGTGTCAGGACGGGGCCGATGGGACCGCCAGGCTGAGGCCCCAGCGTCTGCCCCCCGAGCGTCTCCACCAGAACCAACAGGTCCGCCAGCGGGCGTGGAAGCCACGTCGGATTCGGATTGTTCCGATGTTGACAACGAGCAAGACCAGGAACATGATGAGGACGCCCGGGAGCCTACGTCATGGACGGGCATATCTTACCAAGGAGACGGCAGTGAAAAGTATTTGGCTGGAGCGGACGTGATGTCCGAATACCTTAGCAGCGTTTCTGACCAGATCGCTGTCCGCATGGGCTTCACCAACAAGCCTTTTGTTCCGCGCGTTCTTCTACTTCTACTGCCTGTTAGCCGTGGTCCAGCCGGACGTGTTGGCCCCAAAGGAAGCCCGGGATCGCGTGGAGTTTGGGCTAGAGTACGCCCCGTCGCTGCATCGAGTTACTGAGTCGCACGCGCCCTTGTTAGGTAGGCAACCTCGCCTGGACGCGGCGCTCAGGTCGCGCGCGCGTTTTGCGGTCAGCATCTATCGACACATTTTTCGTTCGGCGCCGGCGACTGGGGTTCGCTTGGCTGCGCGGCCGGCGTGCGATTGCACGCTTCGATGCACGGGGACTGCCAAATTCATCGAGGATACGACGATGCGGGATCCCGGCGCTGCTCTTCGGCATTTTTGCGACGGTGTCACACCGGGCGCGAGCGAGGCGGTTGCTGATGTTCTCCGCGCATCTGCCTTCAGCAAACTGCATCTGATGTCGTCTGTCACTGGGTGGTTCGACGGGCGCGACGGCAGGCGGCGCAGGTGCCCACGCAGCGTCGGCGTTCCGATTGTTTGCACTTCCTGGATCATGGACCACCTGTTGCGCGCTCTGCCGAGATGGACAACTCCCTGCCTCGTCATCGCGGGCTGGCTGAGCAGTTTAATCAGCGTCGCGAAGATGGCGCGGGCTGGGGAGGACGACCCCGGGCTGGTGAAGCAGGCCTTCGCCGTGACGGAAGCGCTCAGGCTCAGTTTGCTCACGCTGGACTTACTGGGCCGCCCCGCCGCGTCACCGTCGCTGCCGTTTGCGCCCTGGGTGCACTGCTTCCCGCTGAAGTTCATGCTCTCGGGCGTCTTATTGTTAGTCGGGCGCGCCGCGCGCAGCCGCGCGGGCAGGCCCGCCGACGACGGCGACGACGACCGCGTCAGGGGGCGAAACCCGCCAGTGAGATGCCGCTGCCCCGAATGCGCGCTTCTCTTCCGCATCCGGTGCGAGTGCATCTTCGCGGGGCCAGCCCCGCGGGCGCTCCTCGCCGCGGCCCGGGGCATGCCCGACGGTTCCCCCTTGCCGCGGAGACGGCGCCGCCGAGGCTCCAGCAGCTCGACGAGTGCATCAATGAACACTTCGGCCTCCGTCTGCTTGCGTCGAGCGGCCATCGGCCAATCCCGCCGCCGCGACCGGGCTGCGGGCCCCAGGCCCCCGGGGCGGGCGACGCGACCGCAGCGGCGCCAACGGTGCCGAGGCGGCGCTCTGCACATCGCCGACAATCCCGTTAGCGGATCGCCGCTACCGGGCGCGAAGCGAGGCGGATCGCATGGTTCGAGGCCGCTTAGCGGAGCGGCGCTCCGTTAATGGGGGCGAAGCAACCTGGGTCGCGTCGTTCGAGGCTGACTGGCGCGGGGGCGCTCCGCTAACGGGGGCGAAGCAATGCGGGTCGCATCTTTGGAGGCCAGCGAGCGCAGCGGCGCTCCACAAAGGAGCGCCCGGAAGCACGCAGCATTGTTTCGTGGACTTTTTGAAGATTCCCCAGGGTCGAAGGCCGGGGGCCGCGAGGGTCCGGTGAACGCGCCAGTTCGCGCCACTGGGCGCGGTGGCGGATGTTCCGCAGCGCCCGCCTTGCACGCGGCGTTTGTTCCTGACGCGCGCGCGGCCCAAATCTAAGGTGCCGCCAGATGCGCTCGCGGACAACGAGTGGAGGTCGAGGTGCCGCGCGCTCGCAGAGGCCGCGATGGCGGCCGAGGCAGCGCCGATGACCAACATGTTCGCTGGCTGGCGCAGCACGGCCTCCGCCGCCGCCGGGCCCGCCCGCGGGCCAAGCCGCTCGGCCGAAGCGGGGGTCGAGAGCACCGGCGCGCCCGCGCAAAACGCGGGCGCCTCGGGCGGCCCTGGCAGAGCTCGGCCCGCTCGACACACCCTCGCTGGGCGCCGCGCTGGCCCGGCGGGGCTCCGCCCGCTCAGGCGCTGACGCGCGGGCAGACAAACGGGCGCGCCTGGCGTTGCGCTTGCGCGCGGGGCACGCGCAGGGCGCGCTGGCCCGACTGCTCCAATGTGGACTTGTCAGCGGCGACGGCGGCCCGGCTGAGACGCGGGCCCCGCGGGCAGGGCTCGCTGGCAAACTTCGGGGCGAGGAGGTGGTCGCCCTCGACGCCTCCGCGCGCCGCGGCCGTCGTCGGCGCGACGTGGCACCCGTAGTCCAAGGCTCTGGGAAGGGCCCCGCTGGCGGCGCGCACGTGCTCAAGACGAGTTTGCGGCGTGGTTTGACCGCGCGTGCTGGCTCTGATCTCACGGACGCGCTCGGTGGCGCTGCGCGCCGATCGTCCGCAGGGCCCCCTGGATGGCGCGCGCGCCCGAGAGCGCGCGCGACCCCTGCGGCGCCCGGCCGCGCGCTCTCGTGGAATACGCGCAGATGTTGCAGTCCTTCCGCCACGCCCTCGCCGGCGCGAACGCCCCGGCGCCCGCGCGCCAGCGGCCCGCGGCGCCGGCCCTCGTGATCCCGGAATCCGCAGACGATCACGCCCGGCAATTCCGGCACCGGGTCGCGCGTCAGCAGGGGGAAGCCGCTCTGCAGCCGAGCGAGGAATGCAGGCGCGGGAGCTACGTTTGAGACTTCCGGTGGCCGGCGCAGCTGGACCGCCAGGGGCGGGCATGCTTCGCGCGCAGGGCTGTCCACGAGTTGCCCGCAGGCGTCGCGCAGCGGGCGCGGCGACGACGTCGGGCGTCCCCGCTATTTCCCAGTGACCGACGCGGACGCGGTGCGCGTCGCCCTTGACGCGATCGTCATCCGCGGCAACGCGGCGGAGGGCGGGCAGAAGGAGGGCCGCTGGTACGTGACTGGGAGGTTCCCGGCGAGATTCTTTTTCTGCCTGAACGACGCGCTGAACTTCCGCGAATGCCGTCGGCAGCTGATCGGGGAGTACGTCGCCGCCGCGCGCGGCGCGGAGGCGGGCTTAAGCGATGACGACGCGCGGGCCGCCCTCTGCAACATCGCTTTCGCCCTTCCCAAGCAAGATGTCGGGCGCGATCGCCCTGCGCGCCTTCTCCGCCCCGATTTCGCGGAGAGCGCGTGAGATGCGGCGCCTGCAGAGCCCCCGCAACGGCTCCGGGCTGCGCGTGGGCGGCAATTTCAAGCTGGCGAAGGAGATTTGGAGAGGTGCCGGCAAGGCCCGCCAGAAGCCCTTCACTTGCGTGCTCGGCATCTGCGGGGCGGACGGATCGCCCCCGCTGCCTGTCGCCCCCGTCCGCGGGGAGGCCTCGGTGGACATCAGGCGCGCGCTGCAGCCTCGGCTCGCGGACATCGCCTCCGCTCGCCAGGCCGCCGGCATGTCTTTGGAGGGCGCGTGCCCTGCGTTCGTCAGCACCGACTCCTACAACAAGCACTTGAAGAAGTACGCCGACGCGGTGGGCGAGGCGTGCCAGCTTGCCCGGGCGCGGACGGCTGGCGCTACTCCGCGCGGCCCAGTCGCCGCGCGCGGCATAGTTGCGCCGTCCGCCGGCGTGCTCGTGGCGGGCGAGACGACGCCCTCAGCTCGAAGAGGCGCGTGAACCCGCAGGCGAACGACAGCTCGGATCCAGTTGGCTTCGCCGCGTCCGCCGCCCCTGGATCTCGGCTGGCCCATCGAACTGCCGTGTGCCAGCGCCCAGCCAGCACCGGTTGTTTTGTTCGGTTTCCCCCGCAGGGGCGACGGGGCGCGACGCGAAGAGGAGCGCGGCCGCGCGCCTTGACGGGCGCGGAGAGCAACGGCCCCGGCGGACTTCTGTCGCGACCGCGCTGACCTGATCGGCCGGCTGAACGCGCCCCGCGGCCCGCCCGAGGACGAGCCGCAAGGCGCGCCCCCCTCGCCGGCGCTTGGAGAGCGCGGGCGCGACCGCCTGCGGGCCGCCGTGGCTCAGTCTGCCGCGTCATTCCAGGACGCGCTCGCGAAGGATCTGGGCGGCGCGCGCGCGACTTGCGCGCGTTTCTCTCGTCGCCAGGGGTTCTCCGCGCGAAAGGCGTCTGGGCGAGCGCGTTCGGCGCGCGGCCGCCGCGCCCCGCGCCCGCGCGGATTGCGCGTCGAGCAGGGGCCCAGCTCGACGCCGCGCTCGGGTGGCATCTCGCGGCCTTCGGCCCGCCCCGCCGCCGCTCTCGGGTCGCGCGCGAGACCCTCCTAGAGCACGTGGGAAATGTTTCGGTGGCCTTCTCGGGGGCACCTTAGCAGCTTTCCGGGAGATGCTGGAAATCTCGCTAGAGCGATTGACCACGCGCCACGTCGCGCCCTGGGGCGCGGCGTCGGATAATTACAGGAGCCACGCGGCCTTTAAGCGGGAAGTTAAACGAATG